CGTGCCGTCCAACAAACTATCCACACGCAAGAAGGCAATTAACGTTAATTGTTGCTGTATGTTTGTAGTAATGACTGTATCCTATAAATACTGCAAACTTCTGCGCATGAATTACCCGTTTCTGCTACTTTTTCCTACTCATGTCTCTGATGATGAATCCGCGACGGGTGTCGAGACGTCAGGCGAATAAACCTATTGTCCCAGCGATCGAGACACGCATGTTCGCTTGTATTGGCAGTACTGCCTTGACACCTACACACCGTAGCGCAACGCAAAAATGGCTGGTGAAGGGTGTGCAGAAAGCACGCGATACGATTTCTGGCTTCTTTCCCACGGGGTGGGAATGGCTGGACCTTGAAACCGAGCCCCCTGATCACTGAAGTGGAATCCGATGAGCCAGGAACGCATATTCTAGCGGCTGCCACGGGCAATATTCAAAATTCAGGTGGAACTCCGTCGACTGACTTATCCTATTTTAAGGACGCTTAATCACAGTTTGCTCACCAAACGGAACTGTCCGCGTTCCGTCGTGCAATTATAATAGATCGGTAAAGGCCGCCCCAAGACCCCTTTGGCCGTTCTTTTGAATCTGGCAATTGTTACAAATGGGACTCCAAGCAGACTGTTGTACTTATTCGTTTGCCTCAGTTGTGAAAAATTCGGCAGCCTCTGTGGGATTCGAACCTATGCCAGCAGGGAGGAGCTTTAGTGCAGCCAACGATCCGGCCAACTGAGCTAGGGTGCCATTTTCTATCAAAGGCAGTGCCGAACTTAAAATAGAGCATAAATGAATTTGACCTAAAATTGCTCCGATGGGATATTTCGAATCTTCTAATGCAATTTTCTAAATAGAGTACTCCAGTGTCCGTTTATATCATTGGCAGGTTGCTTTAACATACAATAAAATGGAGAACCTTCTGAAAATTTAGGGGCGGGCAAATGTAGTAGCGATGAAAGTGGAAGTAAACCCATACACTATAGGGTGACACCTAATCTACCATTTGGACTTCCTGTCATCGACTCCGTTTGTTGGCGGGGGAGGGGGCTTCTTTGGTCGCAGTGCACACATGTTTTTTTTTCAGGAAAATGAACATGGGCAACGTCCTTTCTATCCCTTCTGTCCTAAGAACCTGCGTCTTACAACCGGATCTTCGGCTGTATGTCTCATCGTTTCAAAGTCAGCATGCAGATGTCTGTGGTTTGCATGGTTTTCTTCTAAAAGAAGGCAGCTGAAACGACCAATTATTGCTTGCGCACGCTGAAAATTTTAGGTGTAAGAAAAATATATGCGGTGGTGTTGGTGGCGCAGGTGGATGCATATCCAATTTCACACGCTAATGAAGCACGTGGGAACTGTAATACAGACACCGTCAAAACAGACGGATTTTCTCAGGAAAGCTTGTGTTTTGCGGTGCTTAACTTTCCGTCAGTCACGACGGCGGCTCCGCATTACCACTTCAGAGCAACCTCCCCGTTTCTAGGGCGCTTGACTGCATCTGGTGTTGGAGGCCGATATGGGTCTCGATGGGGTGGAGTTAAAAGTTAGGAGCTCAGTTCTTAAAGATCGGGAAACAGTGAAAGTCTGCAACTCTCTATGATCAGCCAAGAAAGAACTGGTGCCGGTCCGAGAAACAGAGAGATTGGAAGAGTTTTCGTTAGGCGGGAGTGAAATTATCATGATCAGAGTGTCATTATTATTTGAACAAACAGAAGGCAAACCACCTCACAGGGGTATAGAGCTGAGAACAAACGAATGACTAAATATTGGTTATTTATGTAACTGTGGGATAGATCAGTTCTTTCTATTAGAAGGCACGCAAATAGGCAGTCTAAATAGGGCTTAAAGACGCTTGCTTGTTGTTATATCAGGGTATCAAATGTCATTGGAAAATAGACAATCCATAAGTAGTCGTTATTAACGAAATTGGTCGTTGTAAACGGCAGAAAAAAAGCATCAAAAGGAAAACATTCTCGTGTGGCTAAAATATTGAAAACGCACTTGAGTAAACCTTTCTGTTCAAAATTTCAGAGAACATTGCATAACTGAATTTCTTAATGAGTCAACATGGGTTAAATGCCTCTTCTTGAATTAAACACAAAAAATGGATGTCTAACAGTTGAAAAAATAGACTTGGCTGTATTTCTACCATTTGTATGCCAATTTCCTCGATTTGGAAACGTAAGATGATCGTCCATATGAGACCAAGGGTTAAAGTTGGATTCCCATCGACAATGTCTTCCGCACCAATGTTCTCTATTTGAACCTAAGGAAGAAAAATATAAAAGCCTAGTAATATTCCCTATAATAGCTATTTGATCTGCATTTGGGATTATTTCAAAGTACCAAGGTATAATAGTTCTACCACGTGCATGAGGAAAGCGGTAATAGGTTGCTTCTAACCATGAAAATTAAGTCGACTTTTTGCCATTTTTTCCTTCCTAGAAAATTCGTGCAACTTAGCTTTTGTACCGTTGAAAAGCATGCGAATTCATATTGAAAGCATCTAAAATATTTATTTCTTTTGAAAAAAAGGTTAACATGAAAAGATTTACACAAGACGCAAGATAGGGGGCAAGAAACAGAGACGAAATTTCATTTAGACTTAATTGGTAGAATGATAGGACTAAGTCTTAGCCTTATAACTTGTGATTCCGCTTTGGACCATTTAAAAATGGTAAGTAAGCAAAAAGTCTCGGTGAAATTATACGCTTCTAAACGACAAAACAGAATTTCATCAGTTAAAAGCAAATAGGATAAGTTTTTGCTGAAACTATAGGCTGGCATGGAAATGGTTTGGACACATTACGAAAGTTTGCAAAAACGCAATTTTATAGAGTGCAGGGGCCCACAATTTCAGCCGAATTTCAATCAGCACAGCTGTCAGCACCAGATTCAGCTGTATTGTGATTTATGCATAGTATGCATAGTAGTATAGGAAGAATATGCGTGTAATACTAGGAGTGGATGTACACCACTTAACTACTACCCTGGATGTAGTATAACAGTTTATCTGAATAGGCAAAATATATGATTGAAAACGGCCATAAAATGTAAACTTTTTTCTTTTCCACTCTGCACAGAAGAATGTCACACATGTGCAAGCAGCCAGGAAATTAATTGAATATATGCTAAAAACACGACCCAAGTGTATATCATAAACTAACAAAAATCGTCTTTGACCATACCTCAAAAGAGTATCGAAGGAGCACGTTTATATTCATATCTTTTGAAAATTAACTGCTTAAATTAAATAATCACTTAGCAAGCTTCAAGATGATGACTGCATGGAAGGTTGTCTAGCGCAACAGTGACTTTATGAAGGTTTCAGGAAAATAGTATATAATCATGCGTATTTTATGTAAATAGGTTATCATTAATCGTCACCATTATTCAAAATTAATATTATGTGCTCATGTTCAAAAATTTAAGAAAACTGACTTGCCTTGCTTTTAATATAATTTATTGCACGGCCAACGTTCTCTATTTTTTGCACTCGAAGACGAGCTTGGTTTGGCTTCCCAAGGTTTGCTCTTGATATTAGTTCCATTAACTTCAGCAGTCTTGTTCCGTCTTGCAGATCTTTATATAGATCGGTTACTTCCATGTTGGCCTAACATTGTGTCTGACAAAGAAGATCACGGGCAAGTTTACCTTCCTCAAATGTGAATTTATCCAGTTCGTGTATGTCTTCTTTTGTACTCGAGATGCCTCCTCCTGAAGTCTGCTGATTCCATGGCGTTCATATTCTAAGCCTTCAATTTTATTTCTATTTTGAAAACAAGAGTGGAAGATGAGGATCGTTATATGGCTTAAAAATAAGCTACGAAAATTTAGAATGAATAAGCAACAATAAATTCAAAAATGTTTAACACATCTTCAGTAACTTCGGTTCAGTTACGTATCATAAACCATATCGGTGTCGCGTTCGTGATTATGTAGGTACGTTACTATGCATCAAATGCTTGTTTCTTCTAATGATATGTATATATTATTGGAACAAGCAAGCATTTGATGTATATTAACGTACCTATATAATCATGAGCGCGACACCGATATGGTGTATGATACGTAACTGAACCGAAGTTACTACAGATGTGTTAACAAAATTATATAAAATTATGCAAACTGATTTAATTTTAGGCATCAATGGAGCGTTGGGATAAAACTTTTTGTTGTTAGTTTTCATAAATTTTAAATCAAGGGAACGTTTAAAAAAGAAAATAGCTCATAAACAAACCCCAATGTCTCCAAATAAGCTGAGGTCGTCATTTTACAAAAACGCCAAAGCGTTTGCCCGCGCAGGAAAAATTTATAAGGTTATCTTTAGCATACACAAACAAGGTAACACTTGAAAGTACATCATGAAAAGCTTAGCTAATTTATATTTTGCTGTAATTTTTCGTGGCTCAGTAGGATCAAATAATGGTAAATTTTGCGGTGAGAGACTGGTGGATGACGTAGCTTGTGGTTTTCCAAGAAGTTTGTGACGGATTCATTTGTAACGACTATTGAATCTACAATAACTATGTCATTTCAATCTAGTAATGAAAGCAAATGTAGTCGTAAAAATGGCTGCGGAAATGTGCAAGGGCTTCTGCTTCGAATTTATGTATTCTCATTTAGCGCCATTGGTATTTCTATATACTAAGGAATGATTAATCGAAATTCTAGATGTTATCATTTTCCTTCTCCACTGCCCAAATATGTGTATTCGTTTTGGCAGCTTATTTGCATTTTGGTATGAACTGTAATATACTCGTGTGTTTCGACCTCAGGGAGGTCACCACTCTGTTTTTTAAAGTGAGAAGTGAGGGGTGTTCTGGAAAAGAGGCAAATGTACGGAATTCGAATGACGGGATTTCGTGAATTGTGGTATGTGTAAGAAGTTCGCAGGCATGCACCATCAGTTGTGAACGTCTAAACAGCAACTCAGCATTTGAAATCGTCATCGTATCGTTAGTATACAAGTATGTGAAGAAGAATTTTCTGATAATTATCATATCGGTCCCCCGTCAGGGAGATCAATTCATGCTTAGTGCAGTCAGCGAACATGGTTGTCTGTAAATAGAGTTTTCCAAGGCTCTGCCAACCTTCCGAATAACCGTATACTGAATTAACGTCCTCTGCACGAACTAAGAGCGTTGGGCATTGGAGACAAACTTTTTACGTGGATTGAGAATTTCGGGGTCCGACTCATTAGTGGGTCACCCAGCTTCCCCTGTCTGCCTTTCGTTTGATATACCGGTTTTGAAAGTTCAGCTTTTTAATCTCCTGAGAAATTAATTTCTGGTTGCGGTTTATATCATAATATTTAAGGTCTATAGGTGTAGACCGAAATTGAAGTTTTTATTTGATTTGAAACCCGTCAACCACTGCGAAATATCAACTTGCTGCTGACAGACAGACTTTAGTAGTGTAAATTGAAGTTGTAACTTACCATACTAACAGCCTAGGTACTAGCTGTTTTGCCAGTATTCTGTCGAATCAGAAAAGTGCAGCCGATAAAGCTGACTTCCGGGAAAACCTTTGTCGAGCGATCACGCAGAAGTGAGCCATGAAATGAGTGAGAGGCTCAGGAGCACTACCCTATGAGGTCCACCTAAATAACCTTAATCTCTACCCTCTGATTTATAGGCGGTTACGCGGGGACTTGATACCATCTTTCCGTATCCTGTGTGGCTTGGACTGTGCCCTCCTGTGGGACGACGTTTTCCGACTCGACACTAACACTAATCTCGAAAGGTTATCCTTCAAATTACATGTACCCCAATGAGGACTGGGTGTGAGGAAGTATTTTCTTTTTAACCGAGTCTTGGAACCATAGAGTGACCTACCCGAGAAGATCGTTATGTCCCAATTTGTGGAAGAATTCAAACACCGACTTTATATCTATGTGCTGCAGCGCAGTGGGCACTATGTGGTTAATCAATCCAAAACACCAGTGCACAAAATGGCTGTCTATATTCAAGTGTCTGTAATTTTCTTGCATTTCTCCTAATCCTTCAAATAGAGAATTCAAAAGCATAAACCTCTTTTCCTCGAAAATGGAAAACTTTTTCTCCTCTCTAACGTACAATGGAATTGTTAAAAGCAATTAAATGTGGTCAGCGTAAGTCAAAGTTGTTTGCATTTCGTAGGAAAGTATTTTAAGAAAAAACCTGCAGTTACGCGATACATGGCGAGTTAAATCAAAAAGTGGAGTGCATAGTTTGTCGTAAATGCTCTTGCCGTGGTGCTAGTTGGCTCTCGATAATGAAACGCAGAAACCGTATTAGATGTCATCAGTTCCACAATTGAACCGGTTGCTAACTACACGAAACCTTTCGACGCTGTAAGTGCGATCACTGAGCGGTTTATGGAACATATTCTTCCTCTTGTACTTTGAGGCTACATCTGTAGTGACTCAATCCACGCAGGCGCACGCGTGAACGCTCACTGTTCTCGGCCTCTGGGACAGCCGATCACGGACGCTGCAAACTCTACGAGAACGCGGTGGCCAATAACGTGCCCACAGTCGTAAGCTGACCTCAACCCGTCAGGTCATTCGCCTTCAGTTCCGAATCACACAAGGCCTAACTGCGATGACTGCCAACGCTCTGACACTCCGGGCGTCGACGCGCTAGGGCACAGACCTATGCTCGTCCGATAGTCAGCTTTCTCCTACCTATTCTCTACTGTGTCTATACAGAATTAATTACTCCTTCTACTGTGGCCTCCAACTTCCTCTCCACGCCACAAGGAACCAGGCCTGAAGATCGCAGATGCTAGGATTTATCCTATCCACCTAGCTCCTGCGAAAGATCTAGTGCGCAGCAGCCAGTCGCATAGTCATTAGTGCTATATACAGAAGGAGGTTACTTAAAAAATACAAGAGACTGGGAGGCCTTTTTCTTGCTTATAAGTCATCGTCAGCCTAATTTATGTCCATGTTCTACGGAAATTGCGTCTCCATCACACACTCTTGGTGATCAAATGTTCTTATGTTTAACGGCTCTCCCCTTGACAGTTATCTCCTCCTGCGTGTACTACTAACGCCCGTATGATTGACTGCGAGGCTGAATCCCTAAGTTCTGTTGGGGTCTAAGTGGTGGGTGTAATCGGATCACTACAATTATCAGGCCAAATCCCACGTTAGAAGTTAAAGGGCAAAAATCACCAGGAGTGGGTTATTGTGTACGGAACTCCTTGTTGCTGTCCCAGGCGACAGTGGCCACTGGCGAAGCCAAGGCGAATGTTGACTGCGTCCAGCCAGACCTGAGAGAGAATGAGACATTGGCGGCAACTGCTTAATTGGGATTGCGCGGAGCTGGTTCAAGTGTTCTCCGAT